GCATACAGCTTGAAAAGGGATGGAGATAGGACACATCCCTGGCATACACCTTTCCCAATTTTGAACCCTGCAGTGTTTCTCTGCTCTGTTCTAATGACTGCCTCTTGGTCCAAGTATAGTTTTTGCACTACCACAATCAAGTGTTATGGGATTCCCATTCTTCTCAGAGTCAGTCACAGTTTGTTATGATCCACACAGTCAAACGCCTTTGCATAATCAATGAAACACAGACATTCCTCTGGTATTCCCTGCTTTCAGCTAAGATCCATCTAATATCAGCTACTTTATTATTTGATGTATAGTAGTATAATCCAGTGAGCCTGTGTAGGCTTTGGAGCTAGTCAGATGTGGTTCTGCGCCTTGCTCGGTGTGAGCGCTTGGTAGCAATAACTGCATGTACTTATGGTTGGTCTGGTTTGTAAGAGAAGAGTTGGTGTGCGCTGTTCAGTCAGAACCAACTCATAGCTGATCCTGCAGTGGGTTGTCAGAGGCAGTAAACAGAGTAAGTGAAAAATCTCATGATGGAATTAGGATAATTTGAGTAAAGTTCCTATTGGAACTACTGTTTCTATAAAGATGTGGTCAAGGTCCAGGGAACCTCAAAGGAAGGTGAAGTGCCCTGGAGCCATGTTAACACTCCAGAAGTGAAGAGGTCAAGAGAAGATGTGGTTACCAGAAGCTGGAGACAAGAGTGGCCCGGGTCTCAAGGCCCATGTGACAGGAAGTTACACTCTTAGGTTGGGAGGGAAGCTGATCAGCATTGGCATTGTGGGGATGCTACACTCTGATCTCAGACTTCTTCCTTCTGTTATCTCTTGTTAGTGGTCCCTGTAGACTAAATATAATAGAAGTCAGTGCACATGCAGATCAATCTCTTATAGAAAAACTAATGTAGAGAAGAAGGGAGAGTGGGTCTGGACCAGTTGGAGGATATTCAGTACAAGAATTCAAAAGTGACAATGCAGAGTAAATACTGACCATGACTTAGTGTCAGCTGCCATCAGGGTGGCTCTTCTTTTATACATGGTGAGCCAATGTCTAACAGAATGAAATGATGCCAGGTCCTATACCACATTCATGACTGCTGTTAAGCAGACAGATTCTTTTGTTGGTCTACAGAGCCATCATGGAATACATTTCAGAACGTGATTGTCAGGTCTTTCTTCCTCATTTGTCTGAATGCCTGGAAACTCTGTTGAAACCCGCTCACCATGGATGACTTGTAGATTACTGAAATGGACTCAGCTGTCAGAGATGATGAGGATGGCACAGGACAGCACAGACATCAGGTCTGTTGTTCACAAGGTTGCTAACGGCATCTAAAAAAGGGTGATCCATGCAAATAGAGATACCATTTGACCCAGCAATTCCACTACTGGAAATATACCCTAAAGAGACCATAAATGACATCCAAGTAGATATATGCATTCCCATGTTTATCGTGG